GCTTCCCATTGGCAACAACAGGCTTCCCATTAACAACAATGAGTGAAAACACTATATCTACCTGAAGCTAAATTACTCTTCAAATAAATACTATTTTATTTATTTTTTACAGTGGGAAAGAAAGTAAGAAGTTTTTTTAGCATTCTCTTTGCAACTTTATGAGCAGAAAAATATTTTAATAAACAAAAAACAAAAATTTTTTTAGTTAGTAAACAAATGATTCAAGATCTTGTCTTAAAATACAACAATTTGAAGTCAGGAATTTGAATAATGATTTTTGACAAATATTGTTCAGTTTTTTACTTTTTAAAAAAAGTTTTGTTACATATTTGATGGGCTAACAGTTCTTTTTGTTTAAAGATATAAGAAGAATTGTATGATAAAAATCAATATAAATTAATGTTTCCATGTGTCAGAAAATCTTTTATGCTCGTTTTTGATACAAAAATGAAAAAAAAATTTCCCTTGATATAGTTGGGTGCTTCTTTGTAAAAAATCAGAAGGTTCTTAATATACTTGATAAACTTGTAGTATATTTTTGGAACAATGCTAAAAATATCTCCTACCTAGAATAACAAACATTGGTTCTTCAAGACTCTAATCATGAATTTTTACTTCCTTGGTAGTGACTATATAACTCTTTCTTTTGTTTCTTAATGAGAGTATTGACATTAAAACTATTTTAATGGTTCTGAAGCCGGTTTGTAAAGTTTCTCCATTAAATGTTTAAGGATTCTGAAGCCTACTCACAGCTAGTAAAGTTTCTAGAACTCTGCGGTAGGTTTTGGATAAGCATATTAAAATAACAGGTATTAAAAAGTCCTTCATATTTACTAACAAGAAAATAAAAAGTTTTTAGAAAACCAAAAAACAAATCAATAAGAAATCAAAAACTATTTTATACTAATCATTTGACACTTTGATTGACAACACAAGAACTTTTTTAAAAAAAAATTTTTTCATAAAACTGTCAGTTGCAATCCTTTCAGAAAAACTTTTTAAGGCCCTGACAAATCTTTGTCTTATCTTTTTATGAAGTGTCACTAATGACATCATACTAAAATACCCATCTGCAAGACCATTAGATTGATTGAGGTTAATATAGATATAATTTAGATACTTAGAAAATTTATTAATGAATTTTTTTGGTTTTTCCAACTTTACAGAATAATCTATTTGATTTTATGACAACATAAAATTAGATGGATTATTAAAAAATTTAAATATGTATATATTATTAACATATTAATCTGCAAATATATAACAATTATATATCAACAATTATATATCAAAATTAAATACACAATATTTATACTAATTATAACAATAAAAGTAATAAGATAAAATAATATTTTTAAATTACCTTCTGCTGCATTATAATTAACTGGCTCTTGTTCAGATGTATTTTCTGCATCATGCTCAGTTGTAGCTTGTGAGTCATTTTCATACAAAACTTTGCTAATTTTCCTTAAATTGTCAGAGTTGAATGATTCGGAGGTCATATTTCCAAAAAATATACTCTGTTAACAAAAGTATGATTTGTTAAACTTGATACATTAATAAACAAAAAAAATTATAAAATTAATTGTTAAATTTCTACTTATTATCAAAAATGAGTTTTTATTGTAACTTAAGCCAGTATGCTAAAGAGTTTCATAGATGAATGCTGCTTAGATGTATTTTCTATATCATTTTCAGTTTGTGAGTAATTTTTATGTTATTTGCTTTATGTGTCAACATGTTGGTTCATTATTGTATTGTGTATGGCAACTATACCCTGTTAGCACTATTTTAGCACAGAAGTACACCTGTGAAGTACAGGATTCACAACACCACCTAGTAGCAATTTACTTATTTTTTTAAACAGCAGCCTTATTAGTAAAACTTTGTATTTCAAGGTTATAAAGTAGAGAGAGGGTTGTAACATCATCACAAAAAACAAAGTAAAGAGAAGGTTGTAACATTAAAACAAAAATGTTATCACTATATTTCTTTTTTAAGTCTATTGTAACTTACTCTCGAGAAAGGGGGGGAGGACGCTTGTAATTATTATAACTCAAGCTCAAAACTAATTCAAAACATAAAAATAAAACTAAAAGAGTCATTAACAAACTTAAACACATTTTTGTCTCAGAAAAGCAAAGTTTATTTAAAGTTTATCTTTGGGATACAACCTTATGATGATGGAACAATGGCTTGACAGATAGAACAGATTCAACTACATTCACAATAGAGTTGAAAAATACACCCCTCCCCCTCCATACACACACACAGCCACAACATGAAAATAAATAACCTCCCCCTCTTCCAACTAGCCCTAGTCTGATAGTACTTGGTGTAGTTAAGGCGATTTACAAATTATTCGAATACTTTTATTTAGAATTAGCATAATTTTATCAGCATATTATGTCCAAACAAAAGCTTTAGATAAAATAATTTTTTTTGCTTAGTATTTTTTAAATATTAAAAGAAACTTTTCTTTTTATTATAAAATTTTCAAAACCTTTTTACTACCTGTAATAGTGAATCTAAATAACACTATTTTGGAGTCTTTAGATCAATTCCACTCATAGGCATTAACACGAATTTAGTTAAAATCTTTTGAAAAAGTTCCTAAATTGACTGATCCTAGTTCTAATAGTTTCTGACGTATATTAACGAAATATAGTTGTCAAAACACAATATTTCAATCAATTTTCACAAAAAATGCTAGAATTCCGAACAAGAAAGAGCTTATAATTATGAAAAATTGCCAATAAACCATTAGAACAGATCGTATTGTTAAACTATAATGTTCATTTCACCTCAAAAACGTATTAATTTAAAATCTTATTCAAATTTGGACAAGCAATTGTGATTTTAAGATGATTTTTTTTTAAAAAAAAAAGAATCTTCGGTCTGGTTTTTTTTGCTACAACATTTAAAAAGTGCCTTAACTACACAGAGTAGTTGGACCTGAATATGTCAATCATTATATTATTATCATTACTTATACTTATATCTAGTTATATCATTAGTTATACTTCCATATTCAACTTTGTGTATTAATACAATTTAGGGACCAAGATCAAATTTTAAATGGTTATAGCCATCTTTCAAGATAATGTTCTCAACAAAGTCTTGTAGATTTATTATTTCTGGTGTGATATTTTTTTGCTCTGCCTTGCTTAACCTTGCTGACTCATTCTTTTATTGTAAATCTAAAGGTCTAGATTTAAAAGTCTAGATCTAGAGGTCTAGATCTAGAGGTCTAGATTTAGAGGTCTAGATCTAGAGGTCTAGATCTTAAGGTCTAGATCTAGAGGTCTAGATCTAGAGGTCAAAATCTAGAGGTCTAGATCGAGAGGTCTACAAAAAACATTTTTAACTAATCTAAATAATATTATTATCATTAATATTGTTTAATGTTTTAATGTTTTGGAGATAACATAAAGGTGTTGCATTGTAGCATAGTGACATTTAAAAGTTAACCAATCTCAGTGAAACTATTTTTGTTTGAAATAGAGTTTCCTTAAATTCAAGCCATCAGATAGTAAAGTTTTTTATACTTATGTTTATAAACACTCTGAATGGGTGTTCCATCAAACCCAGATTTTAAATTAACCTTTTCAACTCCTCTTCAAAAGCAATGTTCATTAAAACTAATTTTTTATTTTTCAGATTAGAGGGTAGCATCAATATAAGACCTCATAAGGGCTAGAAAAAAATAGTCAAGTTTTGTTTTTAGAAAAAAATAGTCAGTTTTGTCATTCAAATCTCTCGATTCCATGAAATATAGTTGGATAGTTTTTATAAAAATACATAACAAAAAAGATAAAAATTAATAAGATATTATAGTTTGTTATATTTACCTGATATTTAATATTAAATATTATTATTAAATATTAATATTAAATAATAATATTAATATCAAATAATATTGTCACTGTAATTGTCACAATAATTGTCACTGATCAAATAGCTATTGCTGAAGAATTTAATAAATATTTTCATTCTGTATATGTAGATGATAAAGATGTAAACAAAAATATTGAAAACTGTCAACTAAACACGATATTAGAAGCTGTTGAGATAACACAAAATGATATAGAAAGAAGATTAAAGGCTCTTGATATATCAAAATCAATTGGAGTTGATTTAATACATCCTTTTGTTCTAAAACAATGCAGTTCATCAATTTCATATCCTCTTTATTTAATATTTTAAAAATCTACAGAAGATGGTACTGTACAAGATATTCGGAAGATGGCTAATATAACGCCTATATTGAAACAAGGGAGTAAGTTGAAACCAACAAATTACAGACCAGTATCTCTGACATCAATACCATACAAAATATTAGAAAGAATAATTGCTTATAATATCATAAAGCATTTAATAACAAACAAGCTATTAGCAAAGGAACAGCATGGCTTTCTAAAAGGTAAGAGTTGCACAACGAATTTACTAGAATTTTTTGATGCCTTAACAAGCGCATTATTATACGGTATTCCAATTGACGTTTTGTATACTGACTTTGGAAAAGCTTTTGACAGAGTATCACACATAAAATTATGTGCTAAGGTTTATGCGTCCGGTAATGTTGGTATGCTTCTTAAATGGATTAAATCATTCTTATCGAATAGGAAACAACGAGTAGTAATGAGAAAATGCAAGGCAAACTGGGTTGATGTATTAAGTGGAATACCACAGGGTTCTGTACTTGGCCCACTCCTTATCTTGTTATTCATAAACGATTTACCATGCAGACTTCTTAATAAATATTGTTTGTAAGCCGATGACGATAAAATAATCGCTCCTATTTATAACAAGGTTGATTCAAAATCATTTCAAAATGACATAAAAAAACTTGAAGATTGGTCTTTTGAATGGAAACTGGGTTTGAATTTTGAGAAAAGTAAAATAATGCACTTTGGTGCAAGTAATAAAAGATATTCTTATTTCATGAAAAATGATGGCGAACTAAAAGAAGTTGAAAAATCTATTCTTGAAAAAGATTTAGGTATTAATATATTCAATGATTTGAAATGGGAAAGACAAGTAAGGAATGCTGCCAGTAAAGTAAACAATATGCTTGCAATATTAAATAACACTTTCAGATATAAAGATAAGTACCTCATTAAAAGACTAAAAGGTGACCTTATACAACAATATAAATTACATAAAGGTTTTGAATCTATTGATATGAAGAAAGTCCAGATACAAATGCATTCAATCAATACACCAGGCCCAGCATCCAAAAAAAAAAGAGGTTATAAACATAGTGTTAAATCAGAGTTTGTTAAAAATTGTTTAAGTAGACAACACTTCTTTACAAACAGGGTTGTCTTTAGATGGAATAATTTACCGGAATCGGTAGTGGAGTCTACATCATTCAAAGAGTTTAAATCGAGACTTAAGCTGATTGACTTGCAGATAATACTGAACAAGAAAAATAGGTTGCAATTAAATTTTTAGACAATTAATGTGTTGGCTGTCATAGATATTGCCTGGCGCTCTATCTCAACAGCATTTGAATTATATTAAATAATAATATTAATTATTATTATTAAATTTAATATTAAATGCACAAAAAACTCAAAGTAATTACTTTACAAAATTTAACTAATTACTTTTTTTTGAGCTTTTCTACTTCTGTCTTTAACCCTAAAAAAAATTGTTTATTGCAAAAACAAATTATAAAAAAATCTAATAGAGCAGAGTTCAAAGCAAAAATTTTAAAAATTATAAAAAAATTACAAAAAATTATAAAAAATGTTACAAATTATAAAGAATTATTTAAAAATTATAAAAAATCATAAAGAAAATCTTAAAGAACATGTAGAAAATTCATAAAAAAGTTTAATACATTTTTGATTCAAAATTTGTTGTGGAAGTATTGATTGCAGTATTACAAAATGGGTCTTGGGGAGTGGAAACAAAATGATTTGTTACAACACTAGAAACAAATGATTTAGAGTCATCCATAACTGCATTTGAATTTATGAAAAAAATTTCTGTAGACGTTTTATCTTTCAAACAATCATCAGATTTTTCAGCATTATTAAACTGTGTCTTTAAATCCAAAGATTCTTTCTTTGTAAATAAAATTTCTTTTTGGGTATACTTATTGTAAAATATTTTCTCTCTACTTATGTTATCTAAGTTTTTATCATTTTTTGGAAGTAAATTTATAGATTTTGGTTTCGGTAATACTGATTTATTTTCTAGGTTACTGACATTTAAGTGATGACTTTCATCTTGATTCAATATTTCTGCATTGGCTAAGTTATCAACAGCTATGGCTAAAAAAACATTTAACAAAGTATCTAAAAAAGGTTAAAGGATAAACTTTTAAATATTGTGTTACAACATGCTGTATTTTGTAATGTAAAATAGCTTTAAAAAAACATATGTAAAAAATAAGTAAAATTAAATTAATTCAATAAGTTTTAAATTAAAAGTCACTTGTTAAAAAATTTACTTTAATAGTATTTAATAGTATTTATATAAATAAGTTCTTTTATTGCTAAAAAAAAAAAAATTTCAATATATATTTTTTTCTTTTTTAAAAAAATTTTTTAAACAATAAAATACAAATATTGTTATTACTCTGCATTAAATATTTTTCTATTTGATTTTTTTAACTGATATATTTTTCCCTGATGAGTTTTAACTGCAATTAGCGACTTTTTTTTATTTGGTCCAGTATTTTGATATCTCTCTTTTTGTTAACAAGTTATTATGAATAAGTTATAAATTAATTTTAATAAATTTTAATGCAAATAACTTTAAAAAACATAAATTTTGAAAAAGAACCATCAGAAATACGTATGAATCTTATTGTGAAAAGATACAATTTCCAAAAACTACTAAAAACAAAAAGTAAAGAGATGTTGCAACACCAAAAAAAGAAACAGGTGCACCATAAGCTGCCATTCCTGCATACATTGCTGAATACCAGTCTTCTCCTGTAACTATCTAGATAAAAAGAGAAATGACTACTACTAGAAATGACTAATACTATTTGATTAAGCCATAATTATTATCATCACTACCATCATCATCATCATATTGATCATCATTATCATGGCCATTGTCATTATAATTATTACCAACATTATCACCATTATCTTCATCATCATCATCATCATCATCATCATCATCATCATCATCATCATCATCATCATCATCATCATCATCATCATCGTCATCATCACTATCATGGCCATTGTCATTATAATTATTACCAAAATTATCACCATTATCCTCCTCATCATCCTCATCATCATCATCATCATCATCATCATTATAATCATTTTTTCATTCATCAATAGTATGCTGAGTTCATTCTACTTTTTTAATAACAATATTTTCAGTTTTTTAAGAGCTACTCTTACAGTAATGCTATGAACTGATTTTTAATAGAATTTAGTTGATTTTTTAAATTATTTAAAAAAAAAAAAATTTAATTAAATTAGTAGCAGTTTCTTTTTTAGTTTTTTGAATTATTTTGATAATGGAAATTTCTTGATTGTAGCATAAACTGATCCTGGAAGTGCTTCTCAGCTGCTGTGAAAGGAACATATACATGTAAAAATAAAAACTTTGATTATATCATAACTTTCCTTCATTTGGCCTCTGATATAATTTAGGGCAAGGTTAGAATAAGCTTAAATCGTTGTTGGCAATCCTCCTATTTAGCATTTTGTTAAGTTTGTTGTGTTTTCTTGACAATAATATATAAAAAAAAATTCTAATCCATTTTTTTCAAGCCTGATTATAGCTTGTTAACATTATAAGCATGCTATCTATCGAATTATACCATGCATTATAGCTATCTGTACAACTCTTGTTTATAAATTCCACAAATATTTTCAACAGCAAAAGCTTTTGGTACATTATTCATGACTGACAAAATTATCATTGTGTGATAAGGTTAAATCAGACCAAAACACATATTTAGTATTTCTGTGATGTTCGTGAATAAGCCCAACTCCTTGATTTTATTATTAACCATTTTATTTTGCTATTTTATGCTGATCTAAAGAGTTATCATCTTTTGTGCTATCTACTAAAATTCATTCTTGTGTTACTCGCCATTTAATTAAGTCTCATCCTTTTATTGTGACTGTTCCTAAATTCTCTACAAATTTTTTTTCTTTTAGTTTTTTTCCTTGAACATCAATTCTTTGGAATTCACTCCTTTCATCTTGTTTTCCTGATTCATATAATTTTCAATCTTTTAAGTCTTCTGTTAATCATGATTTTGCTTTATAAAATTCATCTTTTCTCTTTCAGTAACTTACGACTCTAATTCTTGCAGCATTGGAAGTAAAGATGTTTAAAAAAAATTAAAATTAAAAAAAATTGTAAAAACAGTTAAATCAAGTTTTTTGCTGAAAAAAATTTTATCTTATGCTTTAAAATATATGCGTCTATAAACATAGGATATGTTATTATTACATAAAGATATATTATTATTATATTATAATGAAACTCTTATGAAAAACTCCTTATAATGTTATGTTATAATGAAACCAATACTCTTTATAATGTTATGTTATAATGAAACCAATACTCCTTATAATGTTATGTTATAATGAAACCAATACTCTTTATAATGTTATTTTATAATGAAACCAATACTCTTTATAATGTTATGTTATAATGAAACCAATACTCTTTATAATGTTATGTTATAATGAAACCAATACTCCTATAAACTATATATTATAAGTAACTAATAAAAACTTTCATAAAAATGAAAAATAAAAATTTTTCCCTAAAATATTGAAAAAAAAATGACAAACCTGGAAAACAGATAGCATAGAATTAGTGAATGTATCAAAGTTTGAATTAATAGATTTTGGAAGATTCTTGAACCTATAAAAAAATATTTTTACTTATAAAATCTTTAATGAATCTTTATAATGAATCTTTAACCAAATTTAAAAAAAACATTTACAAAAACTATGCAACTCATAAATTTATAAACTTTACCCTAATTTGCCATAAAGTTTAAATTTGTTTACCATAGGCTAAGTGGAAGAGATAGGCAAACCTTAGATACTTGCTTACAAACAAAAAAATTCAATAACACTTTCAAAGCATGTGTAAAATTAATGAAAAAATTTATAACAACAACCACTCAATTGTGGTCTTGTTGGTTTCTTTTGCATTTTTTTAAATAAATTAAATATATATATACATTTTTTTTTTTTTTAAAGACGTTTTTGACATGATGTCATCATATATATATATATATATATATATATATATATATATATATATATATATATATATATATATATATATATATATATATATATATATATATATATATATATATATATATATATATATATATATATATATATATATATATATATATATATATATATATATATATATATATATATATATATATATATATATATATATATATATATGTATATGTATATGTATATATAAATATATATATATATACCGCTCTTTTTAAAAGATTTTTTTCTTTATTATTGAGCACTCTTAAACAAAATAGAGTTTTTTATTATTATTGTAATATAACATTAAACATTGATATATATATATATATATATATATATATATATATATATATATATATATATATAATATATATATATATATATATATATATATATTTACTCCTAATCAGCATTTACGGGGACATGTTTTTTGTTTGTTCACAATTTGTTTTTGTTTTTTTACTTTTTTTTATACTATTATTATCTTAATTATATATTTTTTTTAATTTTTATTTCATTTCTATTTTTGCTAATACATATTTAAATTTATTATTTTATTACAAAAAAATATACTTTTTAAATTTATTTTTGTTTTTAAATGTATATATAACAACATTTACCTTCCTCCAAAAAGCTGCATTCCCATTAGAGCCATAATAACCATGTACAAAAGAATAAGAAAGAGAAGACTAACAATTGAATTTATCGAATTTACAAATGATGTCACAAGATTTTTTAATGTTGTCCAATACCTATAATATTAAATTAATTAACTGAGATTTTTAAAAATCTTGAAAAATGGCTATGTAATAACTGGCACAACACATATAGCTATATAAATGAAAAACCTTAACCAAAAAGTCCTATACAAGTTACGAACAGTTTGATAACTATAAACACTTTTTAATTTATGTGTTTTAATTTAATGGGGTTCAAATCTAAAAAAGTTTTTTGTTGCAAATTGCTATAGATTTAAAATCTGAATTTTTTTTTTGCTTTAAATTCTTATAAGATCCATCATTTTTAACTACCAAAGCTTAATAAACAAATTAATATTTAACTTGACCAAACATTTGTTTGACCAATGACTCTTAGTCAATGTCTTTCATGAACAGTGAAATACACATTACATATATATATATATATATATATATATATATATATATATATATATATATATATATATATATATATATATATATATATATATATATATATATATATATATATATATATATATATATATATATATATATATATATATATATATATATATATATATATATATATATATATATATATATATATATATATATATATATATATATATATATATATATATATATATATATATATATATATATATATATCTAATTGTCAGAGATAAACTATATATTATGTGTTTAACTAAGATATTAAAAACTAGATATTACTGATTAATACTGATTTATTTACTGATGAGCTTATTGCTCATCATTTTATAAGCTAGCAAAAAAGCATTCAAATCATGTGATGAAGCCTGAGCTGCAAGAGGGGACCTTATGCCCCATAAAATGTGACAATAAAGTAAGTTGAAAGTTGGAACATATCTTTCTCACTTTTATTCGATTTTGAATTATTGTTGGAAGTCAGCTGCATTGTAAGCAAGTTTAGACAATCAGCCAGCCATAAACCTTACTTGATTGTGGGCACCTGGTTATTTGAACTGGAAACCAGGTATATGGCCACCAAGAAAAACGGCATAGTGTACAAATATATTTCTAGAACTTGCAAGAAATCTAAGGATTCATTGACATAGTGGGATGATATACTGAGAGCTAGCTTTTCTAGAGTTTCAGGCATTTTTAATGGTCAGTTCAATATTGTTTGACCAGTTTTGTATCAAACCTTTAAATCCTAAACTTTGTCCAGATTTTCTTCTCTCACTATCTTAGTTTCATTTTCAATCACATTCTTTTTGTTTCTATGTAGACTACTCTTTGATACAGGAACTGTATTTGGATCAACACCACCAATCTTGAAAAATGAGGACAAAAGTTAAGTTTCAGCTCAAACACTGACTTTGAAACTTGTCAAGAAAGGAACCCATTTGTCAAAAACATTACTCATTGAAAGCTCTATGTAAACTCTATCTTTATTAATCTTCTTATTTTTTTTTTTGGCAAGGCTCAAAATCACTATCAGTATCAGTGACATTCGCACCACTTGAAGTTCAAAATCTCAAAATTTTCTATGTCTTCTATAACTTTTTTCTTTGACATATTGTTTTTTTTTTTTAATATCATATCATAACATTCATTTTTTCCCGCCTATGATTTTTTCATGATAAAATTTATCTTATGCAGTGTCAAACTCTTTCCCAGTTTCCCTTTGAATGCTCTTATTAGGACCTCAATATCTTCTGTCTTTATTTTTGTTATCTGTTTTAAGATGTCTGTTTTATAAACAAGAAAAGTACAGTTTGCCTCTTTTATAAAACTTTGTTTTTGTTTTATATTGCTCTTCTTTAATCTTGTTTGTTTCCATAAGGGTTTTTAGATTTTATGATCTTACGAAGTGTCAAACTCTTTCCCAGTTTCCATTTCACCTTAGGTTGTACAGTTTCTTTTTACTTTTCTTAATTTTTCTTTCATAAGATTTCTCAAGCTTCTTCCCTGTTGTTTTTCTTACACTCCCTCTCAATGCAAAGCATAGATCGTGACATTCTCCCTGGTTGACAATCCTTGCTAGTCCTGGGAGAGATACTTCTTATTGGAGAACTTTTGGAACATGAAGTTACCAGGAACTCTCCTTATTTCTCTCTCTTACAGCACTCCAACCATTTCTAGTCCTTGGAGATTTACAAGGAAACCCATTATCATCATCAGCTATTAAATGTTTTATAAAATTTTTATATTTGAAAAGTATAAAACTAAAGGGTGCTAATAAAATTAAAATTAATAAAAAATTAAAATTAAATTAAAATTAATAAAATTAAAAGCAATATTGCAAATAAATAATAAAATTAAAAGCTGCTAAAATAATGAAATATTGCAAAAACAACTGGACATTAAAACAGCAAAAAAAACATTGAAAAAAAAAACTGCACAACAAAATTCCAAGAATAATTTAAATTATTCAAATTTACAAAAAATTAAATTTATTTGCATTTTTACTTTTTTTCATAATATTTAAATTTTTGTATAAAAATCTAATTTTATGTTTTAGATACTTAATTTAAATTTGTTTACTTTTTATACTTTTTAAATAGATTTTATGATAAAAATATCAATAGATTATATAGAATATAAAATAGCTATGCATAAAATAATGACTTTTACAGACATTTTCAAGGTCAATTGAAGAATCTAGCAGTAGTAAATGACATACTGAGCGCCAAATCAAACTTGTGCAAGATTTTGTGGCTGAAAGCTGTGATGATACTACAGGATAACATGCAACTTGTGCAAAAACCCCAAAAAGAGGTTGAAAAAGACATGAAAAAAAGTGATTTTATGTATATTTAATTTTTTTAAATTTGTCATAAAATGTTGTGAATGGCTAATGTGTAAACTCAAGAAAGATAAAATTCCAAAAAAAATTTTTTTAGACCAAAAATAACTAAATAATAAAATAAATAATAAAAGATTAAATAGTAGAAATATTTTCTACTATTCAATCTATAAATCAGAAGCACAAGGATTGGGGAAGGGGGAGGGCAAAAGATACCACACAACCTCACATATGAAAAACCTTGTACTGGAACTCCTTAACTTGGAGACTTTTGGTGAGTTTTGGGACCAAGTAAAGTTAATTAAGGTCAGGTGGGACACTCATAAATAAATATATATATATATATATATATATATATATATATATATATATATATATATATATATATATATATATATATATATATATATATATATATATATATATATATATTGACATCTAAATTTACTGTTTGTTTTAAAACAATAAATTTAGATCTTAACAATTCTTTGCGTTTAAAAGTGACAAAATTAAGCACACTTTATGTAAAAACTATTAAATTTAATTTATGAAACAATATAAACTTTTAGAGTTTTTCAAAAACTCCAAAAATGCAACTTTATTAATAAAAATAAAATATGAATGTTTTTATTTTTATTATTTTACTGTTCAATTTACATCAACTAACAAACAGGTAAAGAGTGTTGCTATTTTGACTGAATATTAGGTAAAACATGTTGTACATTGTTGCTATATTGACTGAGGGTTTTGCTCAATCACATTCCTTGAAATATTTTTTGTCGCAAATGTGATGTGGAATCAGGGCAGAGAAAGTGGGTAATGAAGCTAACCATTCCATTTTAAATTATCAATTAAATAAACAAGCAAGATAGCAAATTTTTAACTAATCAGAAAACTCAAGAATTTTTATATGCATTAGAGTTCTCAATATCACAACGAAAAATATTGCAAATTTATTGTGATATTGAATGCCAAAAAAAAATGTATAATTTTAAATTCAAAATAAGTATATTATAGGTTGTTTTTTTTAATTCACCACAGTTGGTTTATACTACACCCTCCCTCAATGCAACAGAAATCTACAACTTTTGACAAAATAATTAATTTTTTTTAAAACAATTTTTTTTTTAAACCCTTGAGGGAGGGTCTAGAGTGCTCAGAAAATAACGTGTATGTTTTAAAACCTATTTTTTACATATTTACATCAAATTTAACAACATACATATTTTTTGAAATTTTCTTAAACTGAATCACCCTAATATAAAGTGCTGGTCAAAATTATAGCACAACCTCTTAACACAAGATTGTCATATAAAATTTTTGTACACATTAATCATATTGTTGAGAGGTATTTTTGAAATGTGTTTATATTAGTCATTTAAAATGTGAAGATAAAATTAAAAATTTTGTTCATTATTCATCTTAGAAATGAACAGTTTTACAAACATATACAAAAAATGTTGGTCAAATTTATAGCACACTCACATTCATTTGTAATTTTGACAGCGTCTATGATTAAATGCATTGATGCATTGTTGTGTATGATATTTTATTTATCTACTAGTGTCATAGTTAATTATTTAAAATAGCAAATCTTATAATTTTTTAAAGCTTTTTCAATAATTTTAAAATTAAAACATAATTTATGCAATGGGTTGCAAAGCAGTGAGCTCTGAGGGGCAACAACTTTTAAAAAACTTACTTAAACAGCAATTTAATATTGCTGATATTGCTAAACGTGCTAAGACTTCCAGAAAAATTTTTCTAAAATATTGCTGATAAAATTAAATTGAATTTACCAGGGTCAATTTTATAAAATTGACCTGGTCAATTTTATAAAATTGACCAGGTCAAAGATGTTGTAGATGCACTAGTTTTACAAAAGACCATTTATAGTAACACTTGCTGATACTGATTCAAGTAGAAAAATTGCTATGGAGATGAATGCTGCAAAATAAAAAACCATTAGTGCAATAACAGTTAGTTGTTATTTGTTAGAAAAAGGGTTGAAAAGTTACACACAGAAATGACGATTTTTTCAAAATAAGGCTCAGAAAAAGAAGACTCACTTGGTGTAAAAACTATGTTGATTGGACTTGAAATCAATGGCATCATGTAATATTTAGTGATGTATTTAATTTTAAAACAAGAGCACAAAGTGTTGGTGGAACTATTTCTGTGTTGAAACATTTTTCTGCAAATGAAATAGGTTTATTGAAGTTTTACAAAGATCGTTTGAATGCTTCTCGTTATTTAGAAA